AGTAATGAAATAAAATTCAGTGGCAAATATAGGTAATTTATCAAGTAAAATGGTGGTTGTATCTTTTTGCAAGTGTGCAACCCTTCAACTTGAAGAGCTTTGTAATAAAATAAATAGGCCTATGTGAGAGAGTATTAGACTGTTCTCTCGTAAGGGTGGCATACCTTACTAACTTAATACTATTGTTTCTCCAAAAATTGCAAAGGTGTTCCTTTTTCATTTCAGCTGAAGACATTACAGTCGAATAGGAAAATACCAAATTAACCAAACTTCAAGTAGCAACATCAACTAAAGAAAGTAAACTCGAAGATAAGATTGCACAAACTCGAGGGGAAGCTGAAAAGCAAGTTAAGGCAATAATCATCACTATCCAGGGTATTTTCTCCTGATCGATTCTTGTTCCTTAGTAGAACAAAGCATGAGGAGAGTTAAGTGGAGTGACGGGACTATTAGAAAAGCTTTGCAATCAGATTTGCATGTGGGCCCACTGGATATTATCTTTTGCCGAAGCCAAATCTACCTTTCTCTTTAATGAGAACTCTCCAGCGAAGAATGGGAAAATGTATCTTTCAAACCCGGTATCTTTTGTCACAAGTTTTGATTTTTTAGAGTTAAAGACAACCAACATGCAGCCCGAAGAACAGGTATGTTGCTTAACTTCGGATGAAATGACTATTTCAGCTAATGTTGAGTATGATGTTTTCAGTAGGACACTGCTTGGAGATGTGACACTTCCAAGTCACACAGGTATGGTTAATGTGTAGGCAAGAGGGTATCACTTCCAAATGTAAACAAACTATTGCCTATAGGCTAGAGGGTATCACTTCCAGATGCAAACAAACTGTTGCCTATAGGCTAGAGGGCATCACTTCCAGATGCAAACAAACTGTTGCCTATAGGCTAGAGGGCATCACTTCCAGATGCAAACAAACTGTTGCCTATAGGCTAGAGGGTATCACTTTCAGATGGAAACGAACTGTTACCTATCGCTATACTGGCAACTCAACAAGTGGAGGTGTCCTCAAGCCTATTGTATTAGAAATCGTCGTGTGAAAAGCCATTAGATTGCATGTAATAACTATAACGAGTGATATGGGTAGTGTTAACCGTGCCATGTGGAAGAGTTTTGGCATTGTCAGTGGGAAACATTGTACAGTCGACAAGATCGCTCATCCAAGTGATGAAAACATGTGGATATACTTCTTAGCAGATGATTCTTATGTTATTAAGAATCTAAAGGCAGTAATGGTTAATAGCCATACCATCACACTTCCAGAACATGTTATTGCTGCACATGATTTGAAATGTTGTCAAGTAAGTGTAAAGCATGTAGAGCAACTCGCAAATTTCCAGGATGAAAAAGCCCTTCAACTCGCTCCAAATCTTCATGCTGCAGTCCTGAAGCCCACCCATTTAAAAAAAAAAAGTTTCAAAGGCACTGAACCTATTCACTCACTATGTAATTGCAGCTTTGCGAATTTTGGTCGAAAATGAAAGATACAACAATTCTCTCCTTACAACAGCATGGTTTCTAGACTTTTTCAACCACTGATTTGATCTTATGTTGAGTCGAAATCTAGTGATGGCTTTAAGTAACTTTAATCCTGAAAATCATGAAGAAGCAGTTGACTTCCTGCAGTCGGTCATAAAGACAGTGAATACCATGAAAGTAGAATAAAGGGAGAATGGACTCTTGTCAACGTTACTAACATGAAAAGTACGAACTGTGAGTAGTGGGAGAAGATTGTAAATCGTTACTAACATGAAAAGAACGAACTATGAGTCGTGGGAGAAGATTGTAAACAAATTACAAATAGTTCGAGGAATAGGCATTCAGTCTTTCGCCCAATTTCCTCCGCCCCCTGTACCCTGGTTACTCGTCTAGCAAACCCTGTGCATGTCATATGAATTCAACTTTTTGTTCGGCATTAAGTACTGAATACAGGCTGCAATTCCTTGAAATATCAAATCGCTCCCTTTTATGATATTTTGACAAATTTACACACACAAAAAATGCGCAAAATCCAAATAAGCCTAAAGTTTGCTATCCATTTACAACAGCGTCCTCATAACCTTTTGGTCCCAAAATGTTCGTAACTCTCTGGGTTCTGGTCTAACGTATTGATCTGTGTTCCAGAACACAATTGATGTAGTCTCGGCTCCAGTGCTTAGGAATATAATTGAAAATAGTCTGGTTTTTGTAGTTCTTTTTTGAAATAAACTTTATTTCTAAGTGTAACAAGTACATTGATAATTTTTGTTACAACCTATGTACAAAATGTTTATAAAGGGGGGGCCCCATAGTTATATTTCAAAAAATTTGACCTAGGGTTACACCAGAGGCACACTGATAATTATAAGTTCTATTCAAGAAAATGCGGGCTTGATACAGAGTGCTTCTAAAAAAGTTTCACAGGTGTTCAGTTCGTTTTGTCATTCTAGATCAGCACATAAAACTTATAAAGTAAGGCTACTGCGTGCACTTCTGTTGTGAACGGTGTTCATTGATCTCTGCAGAAATCTGCACACTGTCACTTACTGCGATCACTAATCTCGTATTGTTGAAGCAGAAGGAAGGTAAATAAAAGCAATGTTGATTCGCGAAACAAAAACTAATTAGGTATGCAGTATTAAATGATCCACATCTATTGGTGCTTTGTCGTAGCAGAATCGCGTTATGTTAGATATAAATCCAGATATTATCATTAGTACCGGGGGCGTAGGCAGAAATCTACAGAGGAAGAAAAATACGAACCCATAATAAGGTGTAAGACCCTCCTCCTGGATTTTCTTTAATTTCCTGAAATCGGTATATTTTAATAGCATCTGAATCTCACGCTTTTAAAAAATCTTTTAAATGTTTTTGCGCATATGAGGGTGCAATTTAGGGAGTGCTATCTCACCTACCACATCAGTAATCCCTGGCTACGCTCATATTACTCTACTGTAGAGATTTGTGATGTACGGATTGATGAATGCAGATGTTACAAGAGTATTAAAAATATGACTTTTAAAATTAAAACCAGAATCACAAATTTATAAAATTTAATCCTTACTTTGGCCTACAGATAAGTGTGTAAAGCTGCCAGAGTAGGGATAAATTATATACATTTGTGATTGTGGTTTTGATTCTTGTTTCATTACTTTTTATAGTAGGATCGCTACTTGATTTTAAACTTTTTATGTTATACCTATATAAAGTATATACTTTACCTTTAGAAACTGTCGCGTGTCTATCCATCGATATGTAGCACCATCTGTTGGGTTCAAAAGATGCTTAAATACGTGAATGAAATGCTTACCTGTAAGCTGGAGAAATCATGTAGCGATAGTCTGAGCAGTCTAGGCGCTAGCCCCGCTGACGTGATCAGGTAGGTAGGTAGTGGACAAAGTTGCTGTTTTAGAATTTTTTGAATTGTTATACCGGAAATGTTAGCGACTTTTTTAGCGTATTATTAGGATATATGCGCATAATATATTGTAACCAGTACTTTGAATGGTCAGTTTTTCGCTTAGGAATTCGCTAGAGTGGTTTATCGGCGCGTAAATTATTTGGAATCCTGTGTACTACCTACTTACAATTATTTAACTAGGACTTTTTAAATCGCTCAACAGTGAGATTCGAATGTAAAAAAAAAATAACATGCATGAAATTGTTTAAGTATTAAAATACGTTTAAATTAGTTTAAGTTCAAAACCAATCTATTAAAAAAGCACGTTTTCAATACATCTCACTGCCTTGACTGTGAACAGATGCCACTGGTTGTATGGAAAATGGGCGCAGTCCTACGTAGTACATTTTTCTGTGATAGTGGTCGCTGCCACAAAACCCAACAAGTTAGGAGAAATTGAAATATTATTCCAAAACTTGGAAAAGGCAAGGAAGATTATTCTTGGCCTGTTTTTATTTTTTAAACATTAGGTTGCTTAGCTACGGTATATATTATTGTTCTACCGCTCTGGTGATTTTTTTTCTAATGCATTATATTCAATGACAGGCTAACTTAAGTATTATTTTATAAATAATATAACATTTGTATTGTCCACCTACCACTGAGGTGAAATGTCTCTGCATGAAACACAAGTCCACCTAAAGTGATGTAAATTTCGTATAATTATGATGAAAAAGTTCAATTTTAGTGTATGTGAAGAGAAGAATCTTAAATACTCTGGAAACATTTTAGTCCCCCTGTGTTATGTGCAGAGAAATTTCGAGATGCAGTAATTAATTGATGTACAAAGAGTGGTTTTTGTTGTTTGTAGTAGCAGTAGTGGACCTATAGGCGTGAAGCATACAAACAAAAAGCTGTCATTAAAATTGATCTGCTGGTCAGTTACAAGTAGTTATTTATATAACTACATTAGTTCTCTCGTGTGTTTGGTCTTTTGCAAAATACGTACATATTTTCGCTTTAGCCCTAGAAGATTATTAGAGCGCCACTAGATGTCGCTGACTCTTGAAAAAAAAAGGTCTTAACCAGTTTTTACCTTGCTAAATTAGTATTAAAGGTAGTCTAACATGTCATCAGATTACCGAGAAACAGTCAAATTGAGAGTTATGCTTGGCGTAAATGAACTGCGACGTGCTTGGCCATCCCAACTTAACTAGGTAGAAGTAGAGCCATCTAGTGTAGTGAAGCTGTACTAGTAATTTGTGATATTTGATTTCTGATATAAGAGGCATCTGAATTATGTTTGTAAACATTTTTTACTTTAATCATTATCATACACACTCGTAAGAAGGTACACTCCTCGTTTCAGTGTTTTTGTGCTCTCCAACAATTGTTTTTGTTAAATCATCGTTGAATAAAAAAAACTATTTTGTATACATGTTTCATACGTCACTAATATTTTTTGTTGTTATTCTGAATATTTAGGTATAGATCAAACCTCTTCTTTAGCTGTTCATTATAGAAGCAAATTCTTCTTAGTAAATGGTTTTTATTTAAAACATTGTTATTAAACTTGTATTTATATACTGTAACTTATGTTTCCAAAAGAACGGATTTACTACTTACCGCCACCTACTGGACGAGTTTGGAGGTGCAGTTATCCAGTATTTCCACACGTACCAATTCCACCGCCAGAGGACACCTACTTCTACCCAGGAGAGAGAAATAAGGCATCATTCTACCCTAATACAACATTTTTCAAAACTCCGCTCTACTGATGTCATTTTATGGTATATCTAGCTGGAGTCCTTTTTTCTTTCTTTCTTTACTGTATGATAGAACTTTAACTGAAATATTACACAGAACTGTAGATATAAGTGTAATTTTATTTTTATATTTTTATACAAAATAAATCTACACGGCTTATTTCAAAATTTAAAATTTTTTTTTTATTGTAAACTATAAATGACATAATGCTTAGATGGCGCACATAACAATAAATAAACTAACACTAACGTGTTAAAGATCGAGTTAAAATATTGATATAAACCGTATGTTGTTACACAACAACAGAAAATGTTTTCCTAGTTTGAGCTCATTATCATAATGCTTAAAAATAAAAATAAAAAACACGTTAGGGTTACGTAAAAAAAAAGAGTAAAATAATTTGTGAACTACTTGGATGAGAAGTACTCCACTCCTCATAATACGCTTATGATACCTAATTTCGTACGTTTTCCATATAATGACGTTCGTGGCGATAATCACATCAATAAATATACGAAATGGTTAACAGAAAGCTAGAATAAATGTAATAATGGTTAGGAAATGAGACTGAAACAGGTGTATCAGATAATCGAGTAAGGCTTATCAAAATGTTTATTTGTTTGAAGATGCTTGAAGAGTGTGTATTTTTGACTATGAATTTGTATACGTAGTTAGGCCTACATCCAAACCAAGTTGTATAGTTATTTAGGTGATGGGGTAAACTACGTTACAACTTTTCATACCCCCCCCCCCCTTCTTTCAGTTTAACTTGTTTTAACGCAAAGCCATTCATTGGGCTATCTGTACTCTGTCCACTGCGGGGAATCGAAACCCGGACACAAGTTCAATTTCGTCTAAGTATTATAGTTATCTCGCAATTTGTCATTATTTGTATAAATTGTATAAACGTGAGAGAAAAATTGTGATATCAAAATAACCAATCACGACAGTTATTACTTAACATATTTATGGAACATTTTTCTTTTCAGGTTTTATTTTCCTGTGGTGAGGAAGTGGAACAAACTCTATCGCTGCATATTCTTGTTTCATGTCTCCACATGTGAATTCTGAGATATTTAAAGACTGAAACACTGAAAAGCACAAAGCTGGGCAGTAAATATTACACTGAGAATAATGCTCATAGCGCCACCTAACGACAAAAAGTTTTATGTACAAAAGTACAGTTATTGTTTTATGACGTGATTAATCTCGCCTATCGTGTCGATCAACTAAGAAAACAAAATTTGAATAAAATTTTTCAAGGTATTTAAATACTGAACGCATTTCTTAACTAACGAATTTTTCACATTTGTCACAATGGAAGTTAACCGAGTTAAAATATTACCTTAATCAAAACACCCCCAATTCTCTACAAACTCCGTTTTTTTTATTAAATATTTGATTCGTTTGAGTAATTCACCTGTTACAAGTAAAACTAATGCCACCAACAAAAAAAAAAAAAAAAAAAAAAAAACGGGACAAGAAATGAATGTAAAAGAAACTGAAACCTTCGCTGAACTGTGTTGACCACAGAAATACTTGAAGATAGGGAAAGGCTTAAAGTACACAAGACTCCCATTAAAGACAGTACTGCCACATTTTTTTTTTATTTTTTTGAAAATGTATTTGACTTTTTTACGTATTATTTTGTAATGTTAATGCTTTATCACAGAGTAAATTTGTTTAAAATTGAACACACACACACACTGGCTTACGAGAGTATTAATATGGCTCCACGGTTTTTGTCACACGTTTTTGGTACACAAAAAGGCAACTTTAAACTAAATTGAACGCTTTCTATTAAAAAAAAACAAAACAAACTTGTGTTGTAAAACCATTTCAAAAACAAGGCAATCTTGAGAAATAAAGATATATGTTGAGTGAAAAACGCCCAGTTTGATTTGATGTATAAAATTAATTCAGATACCAGAACCTCT